ACACTGAACCAGCATGGCTACCACAGCATCCTGCAGCGACATGCCATCCCATCCGGTTTGCGTTTAGTTGGACGATCATTTATTTTTCAACAGGACAATGACCCCAAACACACCTCCAGGCTGTGTAAGGGCTATTTGACCAAGAAGGAGAGTGATGGAGTGCTGCGGCAGATGACCTGGCCTCCACAGTCACCGGACCTGAACCCAATCGAGATGGTTTGGGGTGAGCTGGACCGCAGAGTGAAGGCAAAGGGGCCAACAAGTGCTAAACACCTCTGGGAACTCCTTCAAGACTGTTGGAAAACCATTTCAGGTGACTACCTCTTGAAGCTCATGGAGAGAATGCCAAGAGTGTGCAAAGCAGTAATCAGAGCAAAGGGTAGCTATTTTGAAGAAACTAGAATATAAAACATGTTTTCAGTTATTTCACCTTTTTTTGTTAAGTACATAACTCCACATGTGTTCATTCATAGTTTTGATGCCTTCAGTGAGAATCTACAATGTAAATAGTCATGAAAATAAAGAAAACGCATTGAATGAGAAGGTGTGTCCAAACTTTTGGCCTGTACTGTATATATATACATATATATTTTTTGTATTTGCTTGCTATCATTTGTATCATCACTCATAGTATTGGTGGAGAGCACCCCCCATGTTTACCATCAGTCGTAACTGTATGTAGCTTTACAATTCATTGTTGTTTTATGTCTGAATGTTGTGTTCTCTTAGGATGTATTCACATCCTCTACTGGGGACAGTTAAGTTGTAGCTATTGTAGTCCTAAAGCGGAAGCTCTTCTTACAGCCTGAAAACACACAGATCAGTTTGGGAAAATACATTTGTACTTGCTATTTGGGGACTTTTAAAATATGAATTTGGCCGTAGTGCTCCACAGTGACAGCTCACTTGACATTCATTGGCGCGCACAGTTCTGTCATTTCCTGTCAGCACTAAAGTGTAGTAAAGTAAAGTAAATAAATCCATTGCATGCTAACCTCCAAAACAATGCACTATAAAAAATTACTGCTAAGTGTATGCTTTATAGTATTGGCATGCAGAATGGAAACGGGACAGAGTGATGTGGTTGGCAGAGCGTCAGAGCGTTATGAGTGATTGGTCTTCACTGTGCAGGGCTCATTGGAAAATGTCCATGTAACAGTGCCAGTTGTATATGGTGCATAGCAAAACACTGAGGGTGTAAGTCTCTCCAAAGGCCTCATGGGTCACACAGGATGGTCCATGAGGATGTGTTGGACATGGTGACCTTGGAAAGCAGATTGAAGACCGCTGGCAGTTGTTAATCATGAGGATGCCTGTTGGCTGTTGGGAGTAAAAACTCTGCTGAGAGAAAATAGCTCCATTACTTAGAGAAAATTGTACCTGCTGTGTCATTTAGTCGTAGTATTTACTGCTTCCAAACACACTTTAATGAAGACGAAGACGCCGTAAAACATTTGAAAGTTGGTGCTAGATTGAAGATAACCATAATGTTTGTGCTGTGAAGCCATCCATTAGCGGTTGTGATTGAAGGTGACACGTCTTGAAGATCCACCCTGCAGGTTTTTTACCTCAGGCGAGTGAGGTTAAGAAGCTCCCAGTGGGTTCTCAGTTGAGCGGCAGACAGGATGATAATCTCTGTAAGGGATGGAGAAGATTCAAGTCTGCCTGTGCTATGAGAGGAATGTCTGCTGCCTCACTAAGCGTGACCTTCCTCCAGGCTCCGTGTCTGTCCCCATGTTGTTGTAATGTACTGTATGTTGGGTAACAAGCTGCCTTCCTGTCTGACAGGTCAGGATGAGATTAATACATCTTTATTTTGGGTAAATGGAGATGTACAGAGGGCAGCCCGACAGCAAACACTGCTGTTTATCATTACAAGACTTTAATAAATTTCGCTGAAAGCAATTATCATAGTCACTTTGCTGCTCATCTGATTCATTGATTTTTGGGTCACATCTCAGTGACCCTCTCCCAGAGGTACATAGCACTATCAAATTGTAAAAATACTACAAGTAAAGTACACCAACACACAATTGTTAACAACAAATATACACCCATCAGCCACAACATGAAGACCACTGACAGGTGAAGTAGCTGCTGGCACTCATGTGGACTACCCACCCAAATACTGTTGCATACCAGATCCCCCTCGTCGCAGAGGCACTCCCAATGGCAGTGGCCTCCCCCAGCGACAGTGTGCTATGCCTCACCACAAAAACTGTTCAGGAATGGCCTGAGGAATGTTGCAATGGACTCAAGGCATCAAGCTGGCCTCCGAATTCCCTACATCCCAATCCGTTTGAGCATCTGTGGGGCGTGTCAGTACCCAAGAACCAAGCCCAATCAGCAGTGGGGCTTCCTTCCTTGGATTTGACTTGGCTGAGGTTGGTTGAGGCCACCGGTCAAGGTCACCACCCCTGGAGATGTCCTGTGGTGTCATCAGGAACTTCTAGGTGTTGGTGGCAGATCATTTGAGTCCTGCGGCTTATGAGGTGAGGTAGCAGATTGGGATCAGGAGAATTTTCAGGCCAGGTCAATTCCTTCTCCAGGTCATTCATGAGCAGGTTTTGCAGTGTGGTGTGGTGCATTGTCCTGCTAGAGAGGTGTGCCAGGACCAAGGGTTTCCCAACAACACTTTGCACTGTAACAAGATGATCAATGTTATTTACTTCACCTGTCAGTGGCTTTAATGTTGTAGCTGATCAATGTATATACGAAGTATCAAAACTCCAATACATCCAGACCTTCGCTGCCGTCTGCTCACCCATTCCAGCTCAAGCAGTCACATCACCCCTGTCCTCCAGAACCTCTACTGTCTCCTGGTCCCACAACGCATCTAATTCAAAGTCCTTCTCTTCACTTATAAAACCCTCCATAACCTTACCCCCTCCTACCTCACTGACCTGCTCCACCGCCACACTCCTTTCTGCAGTCACTGATGCTAACCTCCTGACTCCTCCACTCAGGACCAAGAACCAAACCTGGGGTGACAGAGCCTTCTCTATAGCTTTATAAAATGATGCATTGTCTGCAAAGTAACAAGCAACTTAAACTGTCAAATAAAAGTCCTGGAGTAAAAAAAAATACAATATTTCCCCACTGAAATACACTGGAGTACAACATAAAATAGTAAAGCATCGTGCCTGTGCTGTCAGAAGACACTGGTGATTTTTCTGTCACTGATCCCAGTATCTTATCAGACTGTACTTTCCCTTTCTTGTGAATATACGATGGGTTTCGTGATCCTGACTATGGGCTAATTCTGCAGGTGGCATATCGCTTGCTCAACGCTTGCATCTAACAATGTGTAGAACTGCAGTTTGTTTCGGTTTATGAATTCGGGAGAATCATGACCCACCCATCAGCAGTCACATTACGGGCAGGCTATGACGGCTAATCTGTCAGCGTGGCAAAAACATAAGAGGATTGTGATACAACACCTGGAAAATCCTTATTACACACAATCAGCTGGTAAACCCCTTCACATCCTGATACTCAAATTCCAGACAAGATACTGATGAAAGCACACAGTACCTATTAAGTGAATTTCAAAACAGGACATTATGTGACCTGACCCCAAATCTGACTTTTCTGAAGGAAGTAATTTTATCTCTTTGCACGGCATTCAAGGAATATGTTTAATTTCTTTAAATGGGATGATATTGCCACCTAGTGGTTAAAGTTGGATCTAGTTTGAAAGAAGGGTGATGTAGATTTTAAAATGACTATATTAAGGAACAATTAGAGGACAGAAATGGTGTTATTTTTTATACAGAGAAATACAAGTCATCCTCCTCAGTGCTTGTGTGTTTCCACATATTGTCTTGGGGCAATAATAAACCTGTGATGATTTTTGTCTCATGTCTCCAATTACAAATAAAGTCAATATTTAGAGATATATTAAGCAGATATGATGACTTGTTTTGTGTCTCCTTGTAGTTGTTTTGTGTTTGTTTTGTCTTACTGAGGTAATTTTGAGTGTCTTCAAGGTAATTTTATGTCTCTTTGCGATCATTCTGTGTCTCCTTGTGGTGGTTTGTGTCTGTTTGTAGTTGTCTGGGTGTCCTTAAGGTAATTTTTTGTCTTAATGAGGTAATTTTGTGTGTCTTAAAGGTAATTTTATGTCCAATATTGGTCGTTTTGTGTCTCCTTGTGATTGTTTTCTATCTTGTTGTGGTTGTTTTGCCTGTTTTGTTATTATTTTGTGTACCTTTGCAGTTCTTCGTACCTCTTTGCCTCTCCCCTTGTTGTTAGTTTGAGTGTCTTCCTGGTCATTAAGTGCTAATTTGAGTGACATTGTGCACGTGATGCCAGGGAGCCCCTGACACTTTAAGCCCTTGGGCCTGTCCCTGGTTGGCCTGTCCAGCAGTAATCCACGCCTAGCTATGACTTTATCTGGTATAATGAGATCCTCAGTAAAGTGTTTCTTTAACTGCATTGCTCGGATTAATCATAAAAGCTGTATTTAACTACTGTAGTTAGCCTGTTTTCCAGAAATGCCCCATGTGTCTTGTTCACATATATGAGCCATTTATAGGCAAATATGCATCTTTGAACTCTACAGAGATGACCATGATTAATATCCATGCACAGCAGCTATCAGATGCAGACACGGCAAAGTATCCTCTGCTCTGCAAAGATGAGTCCTCCACAAACTAACAACTGTACTGTTTCCTGTTGTTCAGTGCACTGTATGGCAGTGATGGTAAGAGGAGTTAAACTGACGCCTTCCTAAATGTGGAGACAACTTATGCAATTATTGCTTTTAAAACAACCCTTGACTGATTGATTATTACAGTTATGATGTTTATTACAGTCACCATAACTCCCAAATTATGTTATTAGGCATCAATGGTGTATGGTTCTTAGGTTGGGCCTCAGTATGTGCTGATCCTCTGTTGGTTTGTATCACAGCAACAGGAGAGCAAAACCTGTCTTGTGTGATGAGAAGGTCGATGGTTCGACCCCCCCGAACAGCAGGAAACACTGAACTGGCAAAAGGGAAAAAGAGACCCATCCATGGTAACACCTGAGGTGCAGCTTGAACAAGCCCATGAATCCCCAACTTGTCCTTAGTGCAACAGGTTTCATGACATCTACCTTCAATCACGCTTCATCCATCACACCTGTTGTGTGTCTGTGTAACTACAGGGAAGCAAAGGTAACGTACGTTTAACGTCTCTGCGTATAGTTTCCCCATCTTTAACTATGTATTTATTACTTTTAAAAAAAATAAGGGTGGGTGAAATGTGCCATCTAGTGTGTATTTCAAACACTTTTTTCTTTATTTATGTGGGAAAAGAAGCGGCGGGCAGTTTTTTTTTTGTTAACCGTAAACAGAAACTTAAGGTAACTTAGCTAACGTCAATTAACAGGTATGCTAGCGTAGCGTTGGCCTTCGCGTTCACTTGAGCTACAAACACCAACGGTTAACGTTAGCTTAGTCTGTTTTTCACTGGACTTAGACCAATTTGAGGGTTTTGTTTGAACCTAAAGCAACACACAGTGAGTTTCAAGTTTCAGTCGACGCAGGGCGAACTTTACTTTCACTGAAAGCTAAATCACTTAAACGTTAGCTAGCTAGCGAGCTAACATTCGTTGATTGAGGTGAGCGTGCAACCGCACTTTCGTCATGTTAGCAGTTAGCTTTTTTTTTTTTTTTAGCTCTGTTAAGAAGCTAACGTTATTAGGTTAAAGATTATTTGACAATATGGTAAAATATTAGTGTTTGGGCTTTAAATTCAGTGCCCTCTCGATAATACACAGCGTCCCTTCGATAGCTCAGTTGGTAGAGCGGAGGACTGTAGTGGCTTGACAGCTGAAATCCTTAGGTCGCTGGTTCGAATCCGGCTCGAAGGAGACACATTTTTCTTACCGTCAACCACTTTATCATAACACCAGCTCTTTAGTGTGATCCAACCGACAACACATGTACCATTGTTGCAAATTGTAGCGTTAGTACTTTCTCCTCTACGTTTTCCTTTGCCAGCAATAGCGTTTCTGGACTTGAAAGTGATTTTTATGTGAGTACCCACACATTTATGAGACTGTAATGCTAATGTGGTGTCTGTATGAACTCTGAATGTTAGGAATTTGTTTAAGGTTATTATTTAAAAAGTATCTTGTGTCATTAGGTTTGTTAAGTGTTCCTCCAAACATCTATGACCCTTTATAGGATTAATTGTTTGCTTATACTTATTGGATGAAGGAATGGATGTTTTCATACAATCACAGACTTGGTATACCTGGTGTAACTTACAATATTTACATTAGGGTGCATAAATGTTGACTCATAAAACTTCTACATGGGCCTAACCTAACTGTAGTGTTGTTGGAAAGGGTGTGCACAGGTTTTCTTCATGTAAAATGCTGCTGCAGAGCCTTTTTCACCCCGACCAGAATACAGTTCTTTTCTTTGACATTGAGTTTGGTGTGGTGATGATAGAAAAATGCACATGTAATAACAGTGAGTAGTAGACTGAGTGAATATGGAAAAACCGACAAATACTGTTGAAACTGCATTTATTCGTCTGAGGACATCACAGGCTGTTTGTTACCTGTTTTGTAAATGGATTAACGTTTTTAAAATGAACTTCTTTAAACAAAAAAAGGGAAACATTTGGAGGCCTTTGTTATTTTTAGAATGTTATGCAATAGTTTTACAGCTCCAGCCCACCTGCGATCAAATCAAACTGTATGTGGCCCATTAACTAAAATGAGTTTGACACTCCTGGTTTACAGTATACCCACCTATCAGCCAAAAATCCATTTGAATACATAAGATAGTATACCATCCTCCAAGGTAATCTACCCATGTACTGACTACTACTACACCACCACAACTGTAGTAAATAATGCTAGTAATGTTTTTTGGTGTTACCAGTAACAGAGATTTCTCTTTGCTTAATCAGGAAGCACTGGACTTCAGCACTATGTGATTGTACATCGTATATAAACACAGTTTTGCTGTTCATTCAATGATAAGCATTTGCAGAATCAAGTTATTGCAGAGAACAGAATTCAGCCGTTTAGTTTGACACTTTATTAAGAAAAGGATGAGATTTCAATTACTCAATTTAACTTTTTCAGTTAGTCTAAGCACACAGTGACAAAGTCTTTTTTGCAAGGTTCAGGTATTTCTGTGCACAGCAGATTTCTGCCCCTTGTGCTAATATCTGTAAGGAGTTGTTTGTGTAACCTTTGAATTTGTTGACCAATGCTGTCTTTGCATGTCTGTTACATACCACTTTTATCTTCTTCAGGTTTTTCATCACAGCACCTCAAGGTGGCAGAGTGGCCTCTCAGCCTGGACAGGTAGGTGCTGTTTAACTGGACTGGGAAGCTTGTGTTAATCCTACTTCCCTAAGGTTCAGCATACAGAGAACAAAAGCAGTGTGAATGTGAACCCAAGAACACATCCCTCTCTCTGTTTACGCTGAGCATGCTTATGATTTAGGTGTGCTTGTTTAAGAAAAACAGATGCACGCCTTGTGATCAGAGACTGATAGTTTTCTTTTGGTTGTCTCTTATTAGTTTCATTCATTTATGAACATTTGTTCACCTTTACATTACAAACAAGTCCACAGAAAATCAGTAAACATTTTGACAATGATCATATATTTCCAGTCATTTTTTAAGCAAAAGTACAAAACGTTTGTTGGTTCCAGAATTTCAAATGTGAAGATTTTTATTCATTACTGTGTCATACAAGATGGTAGACTGAATTTCTTTGAGTTTTTTCAGTTATTTATGGCATTTTATAGACAAAACAGTTAATTTAGAAATGTATCTGTAGATTACTACTGACTCACTGCACCTGCACCTGATGCTCTACTTAAAACTTGCAACTTACGAGGTAAACAGTGTCATAATTTATAGTCATACTTAACCTTATTTTCTAAATCCCCAAAAACTCTTCTTGGACTTTGGCCAGACATCATCAGGAACTTCAGGTCAAATCAGATGACAGATAAACGTACTGTTATACAATAGCTCACTTACATTAAATATAGATTTCTGAACTTACTGTGCTTTTGACTTCAACATTAAAGGGTTTTGTTTGCTTTTCTTTTCATGTAGCTGTGTGGTGTTTTATATTCTACCCTGTAATACTTTTTTACAGGTTTCCTGTAATTTAAAAAGTGATGATCATGTGTTACGGAGGTTGTCCAGTGGTTGTAGTCATAATTTTTATTTAAGTAAAAGTAGCAAGGTTAAAGACCAACATTCAAACTTTCACTCAGGAAAAGTTTTACAGTAAAAGTATTTGTAGGAGCGAATTATACCTTTTCAGAGTTATTATCATATATTTGGAGCTTCAACACGTTTGTTAGAGGTAGTGGAGGTGGAGCACATTATAACTACTTTATATACTGTTGCATAGATTAAGCTATAGCAGAGTATTGCATTTTATAGATCATGTTTTGTTCACAGAATCTAAATCTGCGTAGTTATTAAAGCTGTCGGATAAATTTAGTGGAGTAAAAAATACAATAGATTTGAGTGGAAGTAGCATTAAATCAAAATATAACTAGTGACTAGTTATAAACTAGAGGTTGACTGATGGGGCTTATGAAGCATTACATATACCTATACTTGCTCATACACACCTCAATAATCAACTGTAGTAAGGACTCAGTATGTTATAACAGTCCATGCAGTATCATAAGTTATTGTATGTGTTAAGTAAAGTGAAGTATGTATTGATGCATCTATGGTTCATCATAATGTTACATTGTTGGTGTATTATAAAGTGTGATGCACTCTCACTTCTAACGACAATGTATCATGATTCAAAGAGTTTTTAGTCACAGAGTAAGATTCTTTAAAGACTGGGGGTCTTGCAGGATCTCTATTGGCTAGATTATTAGCTTCAAAAAGAAATAAAGTGGACAGGAATTGCTGCAGCCCCTGAAATCCCTAGTAAGTAACCACATCTACGGCAGTTAACTCGCTAGCTATTGCATACTTACAGGGGGATTTTCAGGGCTGTAGCAGTTTTCCCCTTTTTCCTTCTCCACTCTATCATTGCACAAATGGGAGGACATGTCAAATACATGTCTACAACTCTACTTTCTCCTCCTTTTCCATGGCTCAAGGGAGAAGCACCCATGGAAGCACAGTAGTAGCTTCACGCTGAAGATGCACCGGTGCTACAGCGGTGCAGCACGTCTCAGCACGTCACGTGACAGAGCGTAGTCCGCCTGGTCCCGTCCTACTTCACTGTGATTGGCTGGCGTTGCTGCAATGTGATTGGCTATTGCTCGTTCCCTCCGGTTTCCTCCTAGGTTTAAACAGAGATATTGGATGAAGCGAGATACCCAACTCAGCTCACTTCCTGATTCAGTGACGTCAGCGCCACGCCCCCGTAGGAGACTTGAGGCAGCTCTGAATGAATTGTTGTCAATGAGGAAAATGAACGTGATCACAATTTATGGTCAATTCTTTAGCCCTGTAGTCACTAAAGTAAATATTGGGTTCATTTTTCATTGGGTTGAGGGAGAACAGGCTCTGATTGGAGGGAGAGCTAACCACGCCCACTTAGGAGACAGGAAGAGTAACCGTTTTTTTAACATTGGATAAGCTTACAGTTGGGTATCTCCCTTCATCCAGTATCTCTGGTTTAAATTTGCATTTGTTTTAGACTGGAAAAGGAAGAGGATGTGGAGTTACTGAGTAAACAGGAGTGTCTCTGAAAAAATTAGAGAGTGGAGAATGAAAGTCGTAAACAGAAATTGCTGCAGCCCCTGAAATCACCAGTAAGTATGCCAGATGCTATAGCTAGCTAGCTAACCACTGTAGGGGCTACTTGCAACTTGCAAGTTCGAGTTAGCTACTACAGTGTTGTGGTTAACTGTTAGCTAGCTATACTCACTGGGGATTTTGAGGGCTGCAACAATATCTTTCCACTTTTTCTTTCTTCTTGAAACTAACAATCTTGGAAATAGTGACTCTGCAAGATGCCCAGTTTTTGTAAAATTTTATTCAGACTAAAAACTCTGACTCATGACACATGATCTAAAGATGTGAAAAGGTGTCAAACTTAAGTCTTTTAAAAGGTTTTCAAATTATTCTAGTATATGACAGACATTAAGCACTTAGTATTTAGCTACATTTGTTTTAGACTGTGGAAAGATTTGAGTAAATGGAGTTGTGGAGTGAATAGGAGTGTCTTTTTGACATGTCTTCACACATGTGAGGACATGTCAAACGAGAGTGGAAAGTGAAAGAAGTAGACAGAAATTGCTGCAGCCCCTGAAATCCCCAGTAAGTATGCCAGATGCTATAGCTAGCTAGCTAACCACCGTAGGGGCAACTTGCAAGTTTAAGTTAGCTACTGGAATGTTTGTTAGAGGCCTATGAGCTAACTGTATGTTTCAGCTGAACCCTGCTAGCTTAAAGAATTACTTCATGTAAACATTTATATTACTGAAAACAGAAATCTTCAGCTTAAGTGTACAGGTAGCTCATGTGCTATTGCAGACATTCCAGTAGCTAACATTAGGTTACAAGCAATCTTGTTTGAAATGGAGAAAGTAGTTGGTTAGCTAGCTAGCTATAGCATATAGCATACTCACTGGGGAATTCTGTCCACTTTTTTTCTTTTTGAGGCTAACAATCTTGTAATAGTGACTCTGCAAGATGCCCAGTTTTTTTTGTGAATTTGAGAAAAACTCTCTGACTCATGGCATGACATGTCTGAAGATGTAAAAGCGTGTCAGACTTCAATCTTTTAATATTTTTTCAAAGTATTCTAGTGTATGATAGACATGAATCACTTATGAAGCAGCATAGATTCTTTTAAAATGAAAATGCATCACACTTTACAATGAAACAGTGAAACATTATAATGAAGCATAGATTATTATTGACACGTCAATATGTACGTCACTTTACTTAACACGTACAGTGATAACTTATGATAGTACATGGACTGTTTTAACATTCTATGAGTCCTTACTACAGTTAATTGCTTAAGTGTGTATAGGTTAGTTCAAGTATTCATAATGCATCATAAGCCCCATCAGCCAACCCCTAGTTTATATCTAGTCAAGAGCATCCATAAGACACTTGATACTGTATGTATTATAAGTTACATCTATAATGTTTTCTGACTGTTGATATAGTGCATCACGAAGTGTTTTGTGTGTTTATGAGTGCAGTCATAGAGCATTATAGATGCATTTTAATTCACCATGAATGGCCTTATAACGCATTAGCTTTAAAAACTTTTATTGCTTTTTTTTAATTTTTTTTTGTCAAAGATGGAAAAATACATATGGAAATCATTAAAGATTTATTATAGTTACGCCAGAGAAAAAACATTAAATCATAGCTTGTGTTCAATCATTAAAAACTATTTGTTATGAAAATGGTACAGCAGCTGAGGTAGACACGTGGCAATAAAAACTAAATTAGGCACATATTTTAAAAGGAAAACAAACGTTTAGATAAATACAACTCTACTGCGCAGTGATGCAGAGCAAGCTATATGCAGGTTCAACACTAAAAATTACAAGAGCAATACCCAATTATTAAGTTACCAAGATATCGTCAGGGAACAAAAATGTCCTAAATCAAAGTATGAATTTAGTCTACATGAGTCAAAACAACATCAAATCAGTCTGTGATCTTCAATCAGAAATGTTGGGGGGGGGGGGGGTTCATTTAAATCCACAAAAGTTGCAATAAGTAACTCTTTGAATTATTGTTAATGCAAAGTAACAAAGGTTGGACATGTTTTCACTCAAGGCGAACACGCTTCCTCGGTGATGCTGGAGACTCCAGAGAGAAGGCAGTAGGAGAGACGGGACGGGACTCAGGGATGTACTCTGTCTGATACTTGTCGATGTAAGGTTTGGCCACATTCCACACCTGAGTTGAAAATATAAACTTGTTACTTAAAATTTTATCATCCCTCTCCATCCCTGTGGAGCTTATGTACAAATAGATACAACACATCCGCAGTAAGAAGTAACATTTATTCCTCCATAAGATTTGTCACTTACCTTCTGGTCTAATAAAAGACGGTGAACAGCTTCGATGTCTGGAGACATGAATCTGTCTTTAATCCAAGGTCTGTTAAAGGCAGAATAGTTGAGAGTTTGAGAGTAAGAAGTGGAACAATGGATAAATATTAACTATCGTGTTCATCATTTCAGTGGACTGAAAATTGTGAACCTTGCCCACATCTGTTTGACTTACTTGACCACACTGCGCACAAGTTCATAGACCTTCTCCAATGGAGTGGTGGTACGAAGTGGGCGGAGGAACTCAATACCCTGACAGGCTGCCAGCAGCTCTATAGCAAGAACTGATCACAGAAAACTTCCATTAGATTAAAAAAAATGCAATCACTTTGACCTAATTTGCTAAAGGATAGTATCTTTTTAATCAGTAGGTTAGTCCTCTTTTTAGTAAGAATTATTTCAGTCACAAAGTTAAAACATTACATGTGGCATCACTACTTTTGGCTTGTTAAATGACAGTCCTGAGTTTGCAATAAGGGTGCAGCACTGCATACTGAACATATTTGAGTGTATTATACAGTGTGTGAGGGACTGGACCAAATCTTAATACGACTTGACAGCAAATAATGTAGCATTATCAAATCACAAATGGTGCTTTAGAAAGGCTTCAACACTCCTTTGGATTCAGTCATAAATTTTCTAAGCTATGTGTTCCTCAAGGAGAGATTGTGGAGCCCACTGAAGATGCTTCACTCCATCCAATTCTTGAATTAGTTTTGCAATAATTGTAATCACTTTAAGTAAATCCAGGGGGAATGCTACATGTCCATGTATAGTAGCCACTGGACCCAACAAAACTCACAGTACCATTTCAATACAATTAAAGATAGTACAAGTTTCAACAGTGAGAATAAAACATTGTTGGTTGAAAGCCCTTTGTACTCTAAATTTAGCTAGAGAATTATTGATTTAGTCATGTGGGTTTTTTTTGCCTCTAGTTTTATGGTTAACCACTATATCCACTTGGAAGGCTTTGATTTATAACCATGCAAATGTTTGCTGAAGCACTTTTATCCACTGTCGGTGTTCACTGGCATGATTTTCAACACTGTTACCTTTGTACTTTTTGTGACTGAAGCACCAGGAACTGTCAGGATATTGCTGCTTGTTGCTTTTTATAGCTTATTTAAAATGAGGGGGTTATCAGATCTTTTTTAAAAACTGCTGATGCTAATGGCCATTGGGCTTTATACAATTGAACTATGCAGCAGCTTGTGTAACTGATCTCGCTTTAAAATTGTAGTAGCCATTTTCCTTTTAGGACTGATTGGTTCTTTTGTGAAGGATTTAACTGAAGTCTTAAATGACTTACATCAGATTAAATTATTATTTGTTGATGTAATCACTACATCACTGTGTTTAGCATTTTTATATCCATTTAGGCCTCACAATTACTGTAATGTGATTTTTTTTGTTTTTTTTTTAAATGGTAAAGGTACGGTTCACCACAAAATCAAATACATATTTTTCCTCTTACCTGTAGTGCTATTCATCGGTCAAGATTGTTTTGGTGTGAGTTGCTGGTTGTTGGAGAGATCAGCTGTAGAGATGTCTGCCCTCTTTCCAATATAATGGAACCAGATGGCACTCAGCTTGTGGTGCTCAAAGCGCCAAAAATACATTTAAAAAACTCAACAGCAATGTCTCTTTCCAGAAATCATGACCTGGTTACTCAAGATAATCCACAGACCTTGTTGTGAACATTTTGGTGTAGGAACTACTTTCTTTCTGCCAAATTATGCCAACTGTATTACCGTGCAGACGGAGGCATGCATCTACTGTTAGCTAACATTACAGCTCAGCCAAGGATTCATGTTTACATGTCGCGCTGTTACCAGCACAACCCTCTTGTCCATAGATGCCTGCTTCCCTTTGTGCAATTCATCGGTTGGCAGGTGTAGTTTGGTCGAAAGAAAATAGTTCCTACATGAAACTGCTCACAACAAGGTCTGTGAATAATCCTGAGTAACTGGGTCAGGATTTCTGGAGAGTTTTTCAAACCGATTTTTTTGGCGCTTTGAGCACAACAAGCTAAGTGCCATCTAGTTCCATTATATTAGAGAGAAGGCAGACATCTCTACGGCAAATACTTCCAACACTCTGCAACTCACACCAAAACAATCTAGACTGAATAAACAGCACTACAGGTAAGAGGAAAAATGTGCATTATTGATTTGGGGGTGAAATGTTGTGTTAATAGTAGCAATAATCCTAATCCCAAAAAGCCTAACCTTGCTCCACATGCTCCACGACTCTCAGGGCCTTCCTGGCAGCCCAGCCTCCCATGGACACATGGTCCTCTGTGGCAGCACTGGTGGACAAAGAGTCCACAGATGACGGATGACACAAAACTTTATTCTCTGAAACTAGATGGTACAAAAATGAAGATAAGAGTTAAAGTTCATGATAAGACACTGAGTAAAAAGGGACATAAATACATATAAATATAATAATCAAATGTTTTACTTGTTTTAATCTATGTTAAAAATATTCTACCTGAAATTCACTATTCAATATTAAAACCTATTTAATTCCCACGACAAAAAAAATCTACTTCGTTCAATATAAATATAACAACAACATATAATTCAGGTGCTGATATTAACGCCCCATTTTATGTTATTGTCTTGCACACTAACCCAAGGCAGCGGCTGTGCAATGAGCAATCATGAAGCCTGAGTTGAGTCCGCCCTCATTGACGAGGAAGGCAGGCAGCTCACTCAGAGACGGGTTACACAACCTTTCGATCCTCCTCTCACTGATAGAGGCCAGCTCGTGGACTGCAATGGCTAAAAAGTCCAGAGCCTAAAAGAAGGGGAAGAGTGATGATAGAGTGGAGAACAAAAACTACAACAAATACCAGAAAGATGTTTTATGAGTCACAAACCTACGTACCTTAGCTGGGTATTCACCATGGAAATTCCCACCTGAAATGGTCTCACCTCTTTCTGCAAATACCATCTGATTCATCTGTTAAGAAAAATAAATCACCTGATTCCAGTAAAATCCAGGCTACAATTGTGGCAGAACCTAGAATCTGTAGCTAAACCAGTGTGCAGTTTTTGAGTGCAGAGACAACAGAGGCATACTTAGGTTACTTTTAATGCTTTTATTGAGGTTTGCGAATTAAGCTTCTGTTCAATAGTGACTCATCTAATTAAATTAGTCCTTTTTATATTGAATGAACTTTCTTTGATGAATATAACTCATAAATTAAGCTAATCCAATAAGGGAATAAAGAAATCAAACTATTCAGACTATTCGTGTAGTCTTCTCATCTTTATGCAGAGGAAGGATACAGGATTGTCAGTGGCACTGTTGATTTCTGTGTTGATGATGTTCTGGACAAACTTTATCGTGTCATTGGTAACTCCATGAACCTGTGTACGGAAACAAAAAAGGTATACTCAGAAATAACTGAAAAAAAAAAAAACTTTTAGCACAGTCCTACCCATCGTCATTCATTTTCTGTAACCACTTATCCTGTTAGGGGTCACAAGGGGGCTGGACCCTGTCCCAGCTAACTTTGGGCAAGAGGCAGGGTACACCCTGGACAGGTCACTAGACTATCACAGGGCTGGTGCATAGAGACAGACAACCATTCACACTCAAATTCACACCTACGGACAATTTAGTCACCAGTTAACCTAGAAAACCCAAGATGACATGGGAGAACTTGAAAACTCCACACAGAAGGGCTCTCCCACTGCGGGGTTTGAACCCCCTACCCCGGGTTTGACTCAGGAACCCTCTTGCTGTGAGGCAATAATGCTAACCACTGCATCGCCTTGCCATCACAGTCTTACTCAAATTCCAAAAATCTGACTGCTCTGCCTCAGGACAATCACTCATATCAGATCTAGCCCAAGAAAAATCCACCACACTTCGTTTTCCAAATTAAAAGTGTAAGAATTGAGGGTGTACAGACTTTAAAGTCCTGAGGGTGAAACTTGTGATTTTGGTCTGTATAAATAAACTTGACTTGAGGTTACCTGAGGACAGCATCGCATGGTGTAGGCATCCTGGACTCTGTCACAGAACCGGTGGCTCTCTGGAAAAACATACCAACACCAGATGACACACATTAAGCACAACATGTTTAAGGGAGAAATGCAGGCGTAATGTTACCAAAGGCTATACTTTATTAATCCATCTGGGGAGATACACCCACTGCATCTGAACCACTCTAACTATTTATGAGCTGCGGGCAGCCACAGCACTCCAGTTCTGAAACCAGTACCTTGATCAAGTGGTAAAAATATTCCTGTATGTGTTTTGGTTGGGAGGAAATACCCACAAATATGGCGGTACTGTGAAGCTCTATAACCCATATGTTTGAACGCAGGACACACTTCTTACTGTGAACGGTGCTACCCAGATGTTAGCTGTATGATAACTTTGTTTGGTTATTACATAATGGTGTGTTACTTGTCTGTTTCACAATATGGGCCTGTCTTCTGACCTGCAATCTGGGACGAATGGTGATCCGAGTCTAGCAGCGAGCGGAAGCGTAGGGCCACCTCTATCTGTCCTGGGTGGGGCCGCAGCATGTGGATGTCTGCAGGAGGAGACCAGAAAATGAAGACGGATGAAACAGATGCAGAACCTTGAAGTTTGAGGTAAATATTTCCATGTAGTTTTGTGATTTTGCTGCTGCTCACCACTATCAAAGGCCTTGGTGGTCCCCTTCAGCACCTCCAGGGTCAGAGCAGCAATGATGTCTGCCTGCCGAGCAATCGCCTGGGCTCGCTCCACGGCCTCCGCTCCAAGAGAGGTGATCATCTGGGTCCCATTTATCAGAGCAAGACCCTGTGAGGGAAA